GGGACACACCTAATATTTTCAGTTTGGTAGGAAATTTTGAATTTTGCCCGGGTGGCGGCCGAAGCCTACTCTTATCGATTTTTGACCACCAAGGAATCTTTAACGAGCGCAACGTGCACACGGGCCCTCCGAGATTTTTCGCCCTTGTTCGAGAAGGCTAGGTGTAGATCTTTCCTACCAGAAGATCAGGGGTGTGGCAGAAAGACAGCAGTAAGGAAGATGCCCACTTTTGTACCCCCTCATAACATGCCTATAAGCGGAAAATCCGTCATCCAATTCACCTAAGTCTTGGTAGATCTTGCAGAGAAAGGGTTAAACATGAAATCGGGGGCTCTCATGGCCCAGAAGTTAAGGTGTTCGCCTCTTATTCAAAAGGTCCCAGGTTCGAATCCGGGTAGCGACGGCAAAATTTTCTTCTCTAATTTTTTCTCCTTTCACCTTCTTTCCCGTTCTCTAGCAATGTTCTGTCTCCTGCTTTTTTCTCTAATTTCTGCCCCCACCCCCTGACCTCCTTTGCCCCCCTACTATGGGCTTCTGACTCTTTCTGCAGCCTTCCTACTGCTACTTCTTGACTCTTTCTTACTGCTGTCTTTCATTTCAGCCACACCCCTGATCTTCTGTTAGGAAGGATCTACACCTAGCCTTCTCGGACAAGGGCGAAACATCTCGGAGCTCCCTTGTGCAAGTTGGCACGTTAAAGATCCATTTGTGGTCCAAAAATCGAGCAAAGTAGGCTTCGGTCGCCACCCGAGCAAAATTCCAAATTTCCTACCAACTGAAAAATGTTTGGTGTGTCCCGCACGCTCATTATTATGACCTTATGCAGTTGCAAGCGCCGTAAAACACTAACCAAAAAAAGAGAGAAGAAACCCCCCAATAAAACATACAGTGGCCTTATGCAGTTACGAGCGCCGTAAAACACTTACCAAAAAAAAAGAAGGAAAAACAACAATAACACCACCACCACCACCACCACCACCACCAACAACAACAACAACAACAACAACAACAACAACAACAACAACATATGACCTAATGCAGCTAGTTGCGAGCGTTGTAAAACACTTACCAAAAATGTGAAAAATATTTGAAAAAAAAAAAAAAAAAAAAACCCAAAAAAAACCCCAACATGAAATAAGCCAACCCAACACCCCATAATATACTTACATCGCCGGCGAAGTGAGCGATAGCAAACTCTGGTCTGTCGTGAGTGGACGGGATGTACTTCTCATTCTTGCGAAATTTCTCGTTCATCTTTCGGACCAGCTTGTCGTCGCTGCTCGCTATGTCAAACTTGGAGTCCTCGTCTATGAGAGCCAGCAGCCCGTGTTTGTCCTGGGGGGAGGTAGAGATGAGATGAGATGAGATGAGATGAGATGAGATGAGACGAGACGAGACGAGATGAGATGTGATGAGATGAG